CCGCTTGCGCATTTTTTATTACGCCGGTATGAACAATTTTGTTCATACTCAAAAATGCGTAAGCGGAGCACGTACACAACTCAGTAAGCTATGAACAGAAATGTTCATAAGCTTCTAGTGTGTGGAACATTTGCTCGCTGATAAATATCACCTACGAGTCTATTTGTCGGTAATGCACACTAGCGAGTAATGTTCCAGATGAGGCCAACGAATTTAGTTAGGTGCAACGGAAGGAAAAAACCCGATGGCCACGGGCAACCCGGGCCAACTGGGCGAACAAAATGTGTACTCAAGTCGCTATCAGAGCGCACATGACTACCCAAAAGCGTACTCGAGTCGCTCTCAGAGCGAATGTGACGACCCGAATGTGTACTCACGTCGCTCAAGAGCGAACAGAGCGACCCGATGACGGACCGAGGTCAGTCCTCCACGCGGGCAGTGACGAACCCTGACGACCCATTGGCGTCCCTTGCGCGACCCTCCGCGCACCGATAGCAAACTAAAAGCAACCTTAAAGTGAACAATAATTTTGGCTCGGGTTAGATGAGAATATTAGCTAATTCCCAGCTAAGAAAGCTAAAATATTAGCTTTCACAGCTAGTTGCTTTATTTTGTACACAACTGTTATGGCTAATTTATTAGCTCTCCTGGCTAAGAATTAGCTAGGAGAGCTAATATTCTCATCTAAGGCCATATTAGCGAATGCATTAGCTAATTTAGCTAATTCTTTTTTTTTCCGTGGAGCCGGGTTGTTGCCAGGACAACCCCAACTGTATGGGCACAACCTAGCCAGAAAGCAGGGCGAAGTTTGATTGTAGCGATCGAGCAGACCTTACGAAGTGAGTTGTAACACTACAGCCGGTTGCCACAACCAAGCAGTTCGATGCTTACAACCGATTCACAATCAGCCAGGATAATCTCACCACGACCACCCCTTTTTTCGTAGCGTAGTTCGAACATTCTGGTTCCATTCTTTTATCGGGTTACTGTTTACTGAGGGAACGCAAATCCTATTACGCAAGACGTGCGATGTCGGCTGGCGTTTACGGGTCCTAAATAAACGTTTACGTACCTTAAATCTTAGATTGCCTGTAGGTGATTCAGCAAAAGGAATCCCGCGGAACGCGTAGAAAGAAGCGGAGCTTGCGGCTCCGGGCTCTAATTTTCCAAGCAGATTACCTTGGTCCACTTTTATAACTGGGTCAAGGGCGTAACATACACTGTAAAAGAAAATGTTCGAACACACAAAGGAAAGTCAGATTTACTTGGTATAAAATCTCATCGGCAAAAACAAAAAATGTTTCAAGAAATCCAAAAGGTTCATAGGAAAAAAACAAACTCACTGACTTTGCACTAGATAAAAATGTCAATTGGCCGTTTCTGTTATGACTCTAATTGTTTGAGCTTATTACCGGGGGGTCACCCTTGAAGAACCGATTACAAGCTTGCGGTAATCGGTTCAGTGCCGCAAGCCAATTTCGAGCCCGCTCAGAAAATCGCGATGTGGGTCGGGTGAACGATATCGCACAAGGCCCAAACTTCGCACAGGGTCTACTAGGTCTAATCTATCATTGGAGATGCGTACCTCCAAAATCGTTGACTTCCTAGCCAAAAATGAGATGGCCTAGCCAGCGAGGCCAGCGTCCGCCAGACCAGACGGTGACGAATTTAGTCTGGCGCAGGTGTGTGAATATGCCTAGTCTACGGACCCATATATCCTACAACAAAGTGACCCAATATGTGCCCCAGTTTGCCTACCCGGACCTAAGGCGCAATGGAAGATGTTAACACTTGCAAAAATTTTCCTATAAGAAATTTGTGATGCTTGTTTGCATCAATAAGTGGCATCACGCATGAACGATTTCTAATGACTGATTTTGAGGCGCAAACTAAAGACGTTCTTTGAGGAGGGTTCAAATTCTATGATTTTACCCCTACCCGCAATTTTATAATACTCACAGTAAAGGATCAAAATCATCAGACTCTTAAACGGCATATATTGAAACGTCTTCTCATCGAGTACCAAGTAATTCCACCGGTTAGTTTTCTTGCAAAATGCAAATAGGAAATAAGTAGAGCCATGTGTGTCACCTTGTCTTTTAGCGCGCTTTGACGAGGTCTGTTGTGCAGACTGTTTTTCGGCGAGCGCCAGCGGGCAGGAGAGCGACCATACGATAAATTGTCAGAGATAAATTTCGTAGCATATATAGTTGTCTACTTAAGGAACTTTTAAATTTGTAAATCCGTCGACCCAAACAGAAGTCAGAACCGGCCAAACAGAAATGATCCATATTGGTACCTGATCCTTGTTAGGTAGGTTAACCCAAAGGTTTCGCTTAGGAGAATGCATTTTTACTTTACAATAGCCTCAATGGTTTTGGCTTCTATGTAGGTCAGTAGGTTGTCCCCGGGAGGCATATCCTACTTTTAGTAACCCTTTGGCAGTAGCAGTGGCAATTGAATCTGGGGGGTGACCACTTACACTTACAGCACTTCTTCTGTCCCTGGACCAGGGACACCATACCAAAAAGGTGGGCCAAAGAGCACGTCCTGAACTATACTTTTATCCGCGTTCGCGCCCGGCTTTCATTCCCTCTCCTTTTCGTGTTCGCCGCAAGTTCTTGCTGTGATTAAATAGCGTTGTCCGCAAGATAATAGCCCGGCAAGAAACAGATAGCAGTCGAAAAGTAAAGGCGGTGCTAATACAAGAAAATCCTTAAACGCGGCGGACGGGCTCGGCCCGACGCCTTCTTTTTGTGTTAGATTGCCTATCTTACCGTCCGCGTTTCGGCTTCATCGGGCATAACTTACTGCCAATTTTAAAAAAGTGGGCAAGGTCTTTGCGCGCCTTATTTATGTGAACCTGAGAGACTGGGAAAAACACGAAACATTGCTGTATATTTTTACCTAAGCGGCTCCACAAGCATGTTTTGAATCTTTTTCAAAGAAGTAGTGCGGGCTAAAAACGCAAAGAAAGTCCAAATTTGGTGTAGGGCCCATCAAATTCTTGGGGCTTCTGGCCAAAATCGGTAAACAAAACTAAAAATAAGAAAAAAATATCAAATAGTCCCAGGAAACCATTCGAATTTGATAGCAGCCCTTTGCCGCACGGGAATTGCCTGCAGATAACTAATTAACTTTGCTTGTCCGAAGGGAGGGCCTGTTTGTCGTTCTTCTGCACGTGCTGCAGCGAACCTTTGCAGTACCATGTTTGTTTAGTGCTTACATTGTTCCACTTACCAATATAAGAACCCAGATAGCAGAAGGAACTTCATCGTCGCTGTTGTATCCGAAAATTCTTAATGTTGCCAATGACTAAATGTAAAGTAGTTGCACTGCAAAAAAAAAAAAGGAGATTTCGTTGGCTGAGGGATAGCGAAGCTACTGGCCGAAACAGTTTCACTGTTCGTATGTGTTCGCACTGCACAATGATTCAAGATCAAGTCGAATTTTGATGGCCCTAAAATGTAACACAGTATTGCCCATCATTTCAAAATTTGCTATAATGGATATAACCTAGGTTTGCAAATGCAAATTGAGTACTTCACTACTTCAGTAATGCAATATTTTTTTCACAAAGTATGTACGCATTTTTGGGCCACTTTTGAGGTACCCATCAGGACCCATCATTTTTCAGTTCAACCACAATGCTGTAAAATATCTTCAAAAGTTGTGAAAATATGTTTTATGCATTACTGAACTACCGAATTGCATTTACCAAACCCAAGCTCTCTCGATATTAGCACGAAATGACTGTTGATTGTTTCTGTCTTTCATTGTAGGGCAATCTTTGCGGGATCCTTTCGTACTATTTAGAGGCAGATCGAGTTGTAAGACGAGCATTCCACCCGACACTGAAATCCGAAGAGGGCGTTTTTAGCCCGCTCTTTTGCTTAAAAGCTGTACAAGGTGGATGTACGCCAGACCACGTCTCGCGTAATAGGCTTCGCGATATCTCACGAAACACTGTTACGCTGCGACGCGCCTGGCATACATCTACCTAGGCCTGCGGCGCTGACACCCAAGTCGGGCAAAGGGCACAGTCTGTAAATAACCTTCGGCCCCGAAAGTCACAAATTTTGTTCTCTGAGGTTTCAGTTTGATTAGTTAACCCTCTGGACACTATTCAATATCTGAAAGCAAACATAAAAATATTTTTGTGTAAAAACCCCTCTGGCGCCCAAACGGACACAATTTTGGCCCACAGTGCACTACTTTGACGAGTTATCTCTAAGAAAGATGTAAAAAGAAATATTTTATTTAAAAATTTGTTTTTGGCTTTTTGTTTTTCATTATCAAGTAATGCAAGGCCAATCTTGACTTGATCGAATGCTAAAATGACCTTGGACATTTTTGGTACAAAATGAGCCTGCAAAAAGTAAAATTTTCTTGTTCAAATTAACGATTTTCCTGCACCCAGAAAAATTGTTTCTTGTTTCAAGTACACAAAAATTCTTGGAATTGTACTCTTGAATAATTTCTTGCTTCAAGTACACACGACATCAGAACTAGAACAATTTACAAGCGCAGATACTCAAGATGACGCAGTGTGCACGACCAAGGGCGGTGCTCTTGGATTCAGAGTGTGGTGAGGTAAATGGAAATAATGATGGGTATGGGGGATGGGGGGAGAAGGGGAGCCGCTGGACGGCGAGCGGCGAGCTGGACCGAGCTTTTGAGGATGTGATAACTTTAACTATTGAATAACCGTTACGTTATTACAATTCTCGTTCGGAAAAAGTGGAGTTCCTTTCGTACTCTCGTGATGCAGTGCATCCCTCCAGCTGGACCCGTCTTGGCTGTGGAGAGGTGGCTGATGAACTCCGAAGCCCGAGCCTCAAAACCCGTGAAACGACCTGTAGCTCTGCGTGGATACCCGCTAAAAAACAAGACCCACGGTGAAAGTACCTTTGAATGTGGACTTTAAAACTAGGCGGGACATTTGAGTCTGCTGTGTTGCCATATTTCCAAAATAGGCTGCTGTTTAAACGAACAGGGAAGTGTGGAAAGCATCGGAGTTTAGTTTTGACCACTTTAGATCGATCCTCCTAATACCACTGATAAAAATGTTTGATATTCTTGTCAACCGCTAGTAGAGCTCCAAAAAAGACGTCATACTAGACCAAAGTGGTGACTCCAGCACAATGGAGACGAACATGAGATGCTTTGGAACGAAACTGAACGGTTTTTTTTTATTATCACCCGGCAGTGGGCGGGGCCTTGAGCACAGTTTTGATTGTTGGCGGTACGGAGGTAATGTGCAATTGCACTCCAACAGGTGATTGCAGCGACATCACGCAGTGGCCCCCCGCACGCGGTGCGTGTGGTAGAAACGGGTTCGTTTGAAAATTTAGGCCGAAGACATAGAGGGCCTATGTTATGTAAACCGTTCGCGAAGTTATTTGATCCTCCTTTAAACGCAGCAAGGCCTGATCTCCTTACTCGTCTCAGTTGCCAGCGCTGCAGGCCTAGCTTAATGTACAAATTGCAATGCACGAAATATTTTCCTTGTGTTGCCTTGACAATGTTGCCGTTATCGGCCAAATTTCGCGCTTGAAGACATTCATCAATACAGTTCTCAGTTCTGGCTTTCAACGAGATAAAATAACCCCGAAAATTACAGGTTTTTAGCTCTGTTTTTTGAGTACAGATGAGCGAACATGTTCGCATTCGAACGAACTCGAACGAACATCAAGCTGTTCGTGTTCGCTCGAACATTTGGATTCGAAATGTCCGAGTACTACTCGAACAGAAGTTCACAGGCGAACAAATTTGAAGTGGGTTTCATGAAGACCTGTCATATTCGGTTGTAATAAAGGTGGCACTAGCAAGTTAGCATATAACTACAATTTTAAACGTGAATGTAACAATTGTAAACCAGCGTGGATAGTTATTTTAACTTGTAAGCAAAAAATAAATCTTATTAATTGTTCGTGATCGGATCAGGAAAATAAGGCTGTTTGAGTTCGTTCGAAGGTTTTTAGACCAAATTTGTTCGAGTTCTTTCAAATTCGAACTGGCCTGGTCGCTCATCTCTTTTCTTGAGTTATCGTGATTAGACAGACAAATAGACAGACAAGTGCGAAATTTTTTGATCACTGGAGTATGAGGGTACATCAATGGAACGCTCGCTGTCCGGAATTAAAAATAACACACACGCACACAGAGAGCAGTAGTGGGGACTGATAGGAGGAGGAGCAGCGGGTAGAGGGAGCTTCCCCGCCCGCCACCGCCACCGCTCTGTATGCAGTTTTGTTCTTCTATGTTCCGGGCAGCGGTACATTGAAATACCGTATATTATAACAAACATTACCCACTGAGTTTCCCTTCTATTTTCGGAAAACTTCGCGAGTTTCCCTGGCGTATGCGCAGAGCACACACTTATTTCGGATTATTGACAGTAGTTTAAGTTTCGAAGGTAGTTATGAAGTTGGGCCGTCCTCAGATTTGATTTATAACTAGTTTGCCGTCAAAAACCCGCAAATACTCATTTTTTAACTCACAATACCCTACGTAATATAGAAATGGGGCGGGAAAAGCGCGCTGTGAAGTGCTTTTCCTGAATCAACCAGGAACTACACAGTACAATGTTTACTGTGTCCGCCACCGACAACATAACCGATCTTTCTCACCTGCTGTCTTTGAAGCACCTGCAAGCAATGAGCTTACAGTCCTGTCTGTAATTTAGACAGTGGTGAAGGATCCTCGCGATACGGGCCACATGCTGTGCAGTCAAGGCCCTGTGGGGCACGTTTCCGTTTCACCAAATAGATTGACTTGCAGGGCATAAAGCTAAAAGCGATAAGGTGGAATAGAGGCGTCGGTATGCAGGTTTTTTTAAGAAGTTCCTTTATTTTTCAATTACCAGCTATAAGTACTTTACTGTAAAAACTGGAAATGGACAAGCTGGTGCCCCTTTGTCGGCGTGAAATACCTGCCGGGTTCCATGAACACCCCCTGGAAATTCACAATAGCTGACAGATTTTGAACCAAAAATCGTTTCCAAATGAAGACGAACTTAGATGTA